TATATAAGCACCAGAGCTTATTTACTTAACATCACGCTTCAACCCTTATATGTGCAGAACAACATAGAAACTACTACCAAATAAAACTTTATTAAATCCAATATGTGCAAATATTCGGAGATCCCTTTAAAGTTATTTTCAAGGTTTGACCAAAACAACCACAACTGTGATTTATCGACTGTCCTATTTTAAAATTCTGCCATGGAATACGATGTTTAAGGAATGCAAAGCTTTTAATTAATTCAAAGCAGATAAGTTCTGTCTTTCTTGGTACAATGTTGCACACAGCTCAGTTCAACCCTGTTGTGTCGGCGTGTGACCCATCATCCCCTCTGTCAAACCTAAGAGTCAGATCAGGATCAGAAGAAAAAATACAGTGGATTTTCTGTCTTTTCCCTCCAACCTCCTCATCCATCAGTCTGACTAATGGAGCCAGAAGGACTGAAGGAAGGGAGAGACGTGATGTGAGGAGGAGAGCGTCAGCTGAGAGGAGCTGGTCTCCTGCTGCTCTCATCAACATGCAGATGTGTTCAGGTAGAAAGAACCAAACCCACAGTCAGCTCTCAGTCATCTGATCAGACACTGATGCAGCTGTTTACCGCCGTGATGTCGTCTCCAACAGCTGCTGTTTACGTCTCTGTGAAGGAGCGCAGAGGAGTGATGGAGAGTTACGTCWCTCCAATGAACAGATAAAGGCGGAGGGCACTAATTTGTCTTATGAAGTGATGGATGCAGTCTTGGAAACTGAACATGTGACAGTTGTACTGAATGTCTTGATTGGATGAAGTGAGTAATAAGAATCAGTGAGCCGTCTATGATGCTGTGCATTATGCGAGATGTAGTTTATAGTCAATGCTGGCTTTAAAGCAGCTTATTTTGAAGACATTAATACACCTTTGAATCTCTCACAGGCCACATCAAACACCACTGAGAGCCATATTTGGATCCGTGCCTYGAGTTGGACGCGTTTTGCAACCATTTCACGTCTTGTTTTTGGAGGTTTTCCTTTTCTAAACGAGTCTCTGAGAATAAAAAGGTCTTTCAGTTTTTCATTTCACGTTTAAAAAATAAAAATAAAAAAGGACAAATCACTGCAGTCTTATAGTGCATGTTGTCGGACCACCCTGTGAGAATCAAATGAGGTGTGTGCAGAAAACAGAAATGAAATGAACTGAAGCCCAGGTAATATGACAACAGTAGGTTTTTTATGTTTATGTTTGCACTTATCATCCCTTTGCAAACACAGTTGTTGGCCCCTAAAAGTACATTTTAAATAAATAAATAAATAGAATCTGGTAAAAGCTGAAAATTTATACATAATTAGTTGTTTGTCAACTGAAAAATTAAAATTTCTGTCAGGTTGTAGTTGTGCCAGTATATGCAATTATCTCCTTTTTTTATGTGGACTATTTTTATACACAGGAATGTAAGGATAAGWTTTAAATTCTGTTTTTTAAGGGGGGATTGGGAAATTAGACTTTCTATCATGTTATGTCATTCTCTCGTCAAAAACATACCCAGAGTGTTGATTTGAATTATTCATGTTTTAGAAATCCTTGAATCTCTTGTGGTAGCCATGTAGAGCTGCATAAACGCTTGTTGATACAGAGCTCCGCCTATTTGTACAAAGCTCCTCCCTGGAGCTCAGTCTGCAACCAAGCTCCAGCCCCACAGAGCACCCCTCCCMCAAAGCATTGTTGTGAATACATGCTTAAGTGGGAGTGTCAGAAACGGTAGGAGGTTCTTAAATAGACAGAGGCCAATTTCAAAGCGTTTAGCTAGGCTATGATGCAAAGTCAAAATTATTTTTGATTTAWACAGCTTTTTAAARCAAATGAAAGTAACATAGTTACTTGATTGTGGTGTAAAATACATAATAACTCCCCCCACCACCACCACCCCTTTAATTCTTGTGCATCTAACACAACCAACAAAGGAACAAACCAAGAAAGCTAAACTAAAGAAATACAACAGAAAACCAAAATCAAATCTTTTTTTAAATAATTAGTAGAAATCTTTTTCTAAGGGAAAACAAAAAAATGCACAATTGAAACACAAAAATCTATCGACTTACTTCAGACAGAAGCTGTGTTTCCATTGCAAATACGTATGCGCAAAACTTTGTTGATATTCGATTAATGTCGAAAAACAGTTTCACAACTGCAGTGTTTCCATTAAATAAGAAATGCTATTAAAGTCTTGCGTGAATACATTTGCTCTCGCGATAAKTCATTACAAACATGGCGGCAATGGATGTAAACACATGCATATTTGCTACCGCAACACTAGCAATCAGAGGAGACGTCAGTGTATTATCGAGGTCTTCCAGCGACAAGCCCCTAATACTTGGGAGCGACTACATCTGCAGTGTTTTTGGGAAATTGTAGTCAGTGATTTTATTACTTTCTTTTACTACTTCATTGATTTTACTACTATTTCTACTTCCTGTTGTCTTCTTCGTCTTTTTTGCCAGCAGAGACAGCTGGTTCTTGATCACGTGACTCCCGCGATGCGAAGAATGTGTTTCCATTGCAGTTTTGTGAAATACACCAATTTCGATACGGTCGAAAAACCACCTCATCCTAGCACAAAACCCATTTTGTCAAAAAAAGGAAGTTTTTTCGAAAGTGACGTGTTTTCATTAAGCAAATTATTTTCAAAATTCTAATTTGCGCATTTTCATGGTCAATGGAAACACAGCTAGAGTCTAGCATGCTAATGCTAATGCTAAATCGTTTAAAAATGTAAATACAGTATGAGAAAAACCATCTATGTTTTACTAATTTATTCAAACAATAAAGTAATCTGTGCTAAATTCTTGTTCTCTCATCAGAGTCCGACAACTTGGATCCGGACCTGGCCCGGCTCGGGTCTCTGGGTTTCACAGGCTGTCTGTCGGTGGTCCACTTTAACTCCATCAGTCCTCTGAAAGCAGCTCTTCTCAACCCAAACACCAGCCCCGTTTTCAGTAATCTGTGCTAAATTCTTGTTCTCTCATCAGAGTCCGACAACTTGGATCCGGACCTGGCCCGGCTCGGGTCTCTGGGTTTCACAGGCTGTCTGTCGGTGGTCCACTTTAACTCCATCAGTCCTCTGAAAGCAGCTCTTCTCAACCCAAACACCAGCCCCGTTTTCATCTCCGGACCTCTAGTCCAGTCCAACTGCGGGTCTTCAGCTTCAGCCAACCCCTACTCAGCTGAGAACACACACCACCTGTCAGGTAAAAGSGGCGGGGCTTTGTTTGGTTTGTTCGAAAACTTTATTTATTGCAACAGAAGGGGTGATGTCTACTTCCTGGATCACAGAAATCATCCTTCTATAAATCCTTACTCCAGGACCTTGTTGGTTCTGAAYTAAAGGAACTTTAAACTTCCTGTTTATGGTTCAGGTGTGGATTTACACACAGGACAGGAGGCAGATGGGAGTCAAAAGATACCCAGTGGTAAATTTTGTAGCCCCAGGCCGCAGCTGTAGAGTTGTTTCATAAACAAGCTCGGCCCTGTTTCTCTTGTCCTGGAAATAATTACCTGGTCTCGTGCTCATTTGGATCACAGATGGTGCTGAAGTTGAGCAGATGGGCAACACATTAAAAATGTGCTGAGAAACATGTTTAAGGTTATAAACAGAGCATCATCCTCTTCTCTTAAGTGTTGATTACGTAACCAGTTTTTCATGACTCTTTTTTAAAGTGTTTGGGATCCTACTTCCTGTTTTCTGTTTGTCTTCACAAATGAGTTAATAAATCTGTGACTCAGATGAATTTAACTCTTCAGCTGCTGCATCTTTACAAATGTAAAAAACCCTAAAAATAACATTTTCCAACATTTTCCACTTCCCTTCTGGGAGAATAAAAACCTTCATCTTGCGTCGCTTGAAGTCACAGAAMTAGACCTTCTCAGTTTAGTTTCTGTAATTCTAGCCTCCTGAGACCCTGCATCCCCTTATGTGGACATTGCATTTTTCTAACCATGATGCATCTTTTTTTTTTTCAACTTTAACCCATTGGCCTCATTAATAGACACTACCATCGCCCTCTAGTGGTCCCATGACAATATTACCCTCATTTGAGTGAAAACAAGATGGCGGGGATCCCTGTGGAAAGCTAACTGTGGTAAGAAAAATGGCCAAGGTAAAAACCCAAATTACATTTCGCTCTTGAAACTAGTGTGTTTATGCACAGTTACATCTTTAGCTTTATAAGGCATACAAACAACATTTTTTACAAGTGAAGCAAATTACAATCTCAGTAAAGATAAAGTCCTCATTTGAGGGCATTGGGACTATAGTTTACTAAAATGAACTAAATAACGAAAACTGAAATTGAAAAAACATTTTAGTTAAATAAAATAAATAAAAACTGTAATAAAATGAAAAAAACAATATCTAACTAAAACTGTATAATCTTTTTACAAAACTAACTAAAACTAACTGAAATTATAGGTAGAATATCCTTAGTTTTAGTGTTTGTCAATTTATTTTGAGACATGTGGATCTCTGAAAAACAAGTAACATGTAGCCCCGGGTTGGAGACGACTACTGTCATCGTCCTAAAATAATCGCCCAATTCCTTGGTTGGCTAAATTGAGTTACACAATTATTTTAGTAAGGTGTCGCTATAATGGACTGCTTTAACTAGTGACCAAATATCTTTTGGTT